ACCCCGGACCGCCCAGCCACGCCTTTGCACCCTGCGGCCATGTCTGCTCTGAGAAGACTGCCCGCTACTGGGCCCAGACGCCACTGCCCCATGGCACTCACGCTTTCCATGCCGCCTGCCCCTTCTGTGGGGCCTGGCTCACCGGCGAGCATGGCTGTGTCCGCCTCATTTTCCAGGGACCACTGGACTAGGCTCCCAGGACCCCCTGCTGCCTCGCCCACCTGCCCACCCAGGTCCCCCACCTCCTGCAGCCTAGAGGGAGCTCTGCATGTGGGACTCTACCTGCTGGCACCTAGCCACACCATGTGGACGCATCGGATGGGCTGTGCCCCTCCCCTTTTAACCCAAAGGTGTTCCTGAGGCCCGTACTCCAGCCAGAATGATGGGGTCCCCAGCACCAGCTCTGTCCTGGCCTGATGGGAGAAAGCCCACCCCCATCCCTGGCCCCTCCTGGAGTGTCTCACATCATGCCGCCTACACTGTGCCGCTGGGGGAGTGAAAGGGCCCTGGGCCCCTGACCCCCAGTTTAGGCTGGCTGTGCCCGGAGCCTGCTGACCCAGCTTCAGCTACTCCCCCTGCTGCTGCCGTGGGGTCCTGTAAACCTTGCTGCTCAGCTGCCCTCACCAACCCCATGCATCCTGCATGTGTGCAGCGCCCCAGCCCCTGACGGAGTTCCAGGCGGGCGGCAGGCTGGGACCAGCATCTGCTGATACCACTGTGGGCTGGACTCCATGCCAGGTGGGTTCTGGGGACACAAAGACAGTCAGGCCTGGTCCCTGCCTGGTGGAGCACACACCCTAGTGGACAACAGACCACATTGCCGAATGACAGCATGGCTTCCGGTGTGCCCGGGTTGGAGAGTTACCAGAGGCTGTGGTGCGGGTCTCATCGACAGGTGGAAAAGTCAGGGAGGGTCACAGGGGAGGTGGCATAGGAGCTCAGGGATCCCCCACAGGAAGGGGAGGGTGCCCTTGGCAGGAGGGAGCGGGAACACAGGCTCAGAGGTAAGGAAGCAGGAACTGAGTGGGGTTCAGAGAGGCTGGAGCAGGGGCTCCCGGAGGGCAGGAGGTGGGGCTGTGCTGACAGGGAAGATGCTGGATGGAGGATTCGGAACCTCATTTGTGGACAGTCAGGAGTCAAGGGAGGAGAGAGGACTCGCAGTTCCATAGCTTTGGCTGTGATATAAGGGCTACCCTTCCCGAATGCCCACTTGTGCCCCGCACTGTGCTAATGATAATAATAACTATGTTCATTGATCACTCACCAGGCATCGGGCTCTGCTTCTCAGAGGTTCGGGTATTTAATCCTCCTGGGAACCCAGGGAGGGAGGTGTTACCATTCCCATTTATGGGCAGATGAAGGTACGTGTTCCACGTCCCGCTGCTAGGAAGTGGCCAGGTCAGATTCCCGTCCACGGCTGCCTGCCTGGACGCAGGGCCTGCCCTCTTCTCCATTACACGGTGCTGCTTTCCCGGGTGGGAGCCGTGGGGAGGGCAGCCCAGGTAAGGGGAGCAGCCTGGGCACAGGTGCGGCCCGGAAAATGGGCCGGGTGTGGAGGGAGCAGAAAAGAGGAAAGAGGGTGGGGACATTGGACTGGGGCCTGGTGGGCTGTGGTTGCCATGGAGGCCAAGTCTGAATCGGATCCCTGAGAGCCAAGACAAGCTTGGGGTGCTGCTGAGGTTGCCCCCAGACTGTCTAGGGCAACAGTTGCCAACCGGTGGTCCACCGACCGCGGGTGGTCCGTGAGGTCCGAAAGGTTGGCGACCGCTGCTCTAGGGGGAGTGAGCTAGGGCGACAGGTAGACAGAGGTTCTGGAGATATAAAAACCTGAAGAAGAGGCTCTGAATACAAGCCTGACCTGGACCTCATCCCCAGTGGAAGATGGCTGTCTTAGGGAGTGCAGATTTCTGGTGGCCTGGTGGGGGGTGGGCGGGGAGAGGACGGCCACCCCAGGCCACACAACCAGTTGGAGCACAGAGACCCGGCCTGGGGCTATTGGGAGGACAGAGGGCCCCCATGAGTGGTGAGAGGGGATGTGATCAGCCTTGCTTCCAGAGCAGCACGCTGCCAGAGTAGGGGAGCCCCGCTGGGGATGCTGGGGCGGGGGTGGTATGGAAGCGTGGCGGCTTCTACACACACACACACAGAGCACTAGGAATCCAACTCTACCCAGTGGTTTTCTCTCAACCCGGTTGGGAACCAGATGGGAACATCCTGGTCCCAGGTCTAGCAGGGAACCTCGGACCATGGAAGAGAGATGAGCAACGGGCACAGGCACAACCCCGAGGAGAACTCAGAAGTGGTGGTGGAGGGGATCAGACCCCTGGTCTTGGCCCAGCTCTGCCCTTTTCCACTCCTGGAGTCTCCGTTTCCTCCGTTAAATGGAATAAAAGTCCCGTCACCAGGCGGTTGTGAATTATGGAGGGTACCTGTAATCAGTAGGTACTTAATGTTCTTTCCTCACCCGCCTCTTCTTTCCCATGAGAAGAGACAAGGCCGGGACAGTCAGGACTCGTGAGTGGATGGGTGTGTGTGTGTGTGTGTGTGTGTGTGTGTGTAGGCAGGTGGAGTCTGAGGAAGGCTGAGTCCCACTTCAGGGACACCGGAGGACATGCTAGGTGGCCTTAGGGAAGTCGATGAACCTATTAGCCTTAGTTTCCCCATCTGTACAATAGGTAAAATAGTGATATCCTATTTCAAGGTTTTTTTGCAAAATTAAATGAGATCCTCCATGTCCAGCTGCTAGCACAGGACCCTAGTGAGGCTCGGAGTAGCTAGGATCAGAAAAAGGCAGCTTGTTGAGGCTCCCAGGGGTCCTGGGTCTTTTGGTGGCCTGAATTGCCCACTGGTGGCAGTGGACAGCACTACTACCTCCTTTCCCGGTGTACATTTCAACTCCACCCCTGTCAGGAAGAAAGATTTTATACTCCAAGACCATGAAAATGAGGCACAAGAAAGAAGGGTGGCATTCCTAAGGACATAGGCCAATTTACTGAGCTCCTCCTATGATCATCAGCAGCAGCGCCAACAGTTGCACTGTTGTGCCAAGCAGAGCTTGGGCGCCTTTGAGAACAAGCAGCTGGTGCTCACGCTGGGCAGACGTTGCTTTGGGGCAAGACAGGTGTGGCAAAGCCAAGACAGGCAAGGAGGGGATGCGGATTCCAGGCGCCCCCTTCTCCCCGCATCCTCTCTGCACAACACTAGGGGGCAGCACTAACCAGTCCGCACTTCACTGACGCTGACATCCCTCAGAGTGGGAACAATTATTAGCCCAGTTTTTCTGCCAACACTCAGGTAAAGCGACCCAACCAAGGACACAGCCAGTAGGCGGTGGAGGCCAGATTCACTTCAGATGGCCTGACTCCACCCCCACTCTGATCGGGGGACCCTCACAAGACTCCCCTAGGTCCCAGCTGGGCCCCAGGCACTTTCAGAGGCTGTGCCCCACTCAGGCCCTACTCCAGCGAGACCATCCAGACATAACAGGGTGGGTCTCGGGCCCGGCTCTGCCCTGGTCAGCCTTTCTAGGTCGCAGGCGGCTTTCTCATCCACCAGGCGCCCGCCAAGCAGCAAGGAATTGCCAGGCCCCTCGCTTCCTTGTGCTGAAAAAAATGAGGCTCAGAGATGTGTAGCGGCTGCCGCCACCCACGCTCCCGGCCCCTGGTGAGTCGGTGGTGGTGCAGGCACGGGTGGGACCATCCGAACCCAGGCTGCAGCCGGCTCCCGGTGTGTTCTGCTGGGAGAGCTTGGCCGACTCCAGAGAATCCCGACCCACTGGCCATCGAACCCAGCGAGGGCGGGGGAGCCGCATCCCCGAGGTGCAGGCTTCCACCTGCAAAGAGCTGAGGTCGGGAACTGGGAAAACCCCAAAGGAGGTCTGGGTCAGGGCTGTGTGTGGGGCGGGAGTGGAAATCCCTGGCGCTCCGTCAGCGACACCATGCCGCCCCGCCCG